TTCCGCTCTATTTGGCATTCAGTTCTGCGTATTATATTTCCCAAAGGCTCCATTTGTGGTTTCTAAATCTCTAGCCCAGCTCTGTTTCATTTGTTAGTTCTGATAAGTTTTCCCCTGCTTTTTCCTTTCTTGCAGTGATTTTTGCCCATCACTTCTAGATGTAAATGGCGTACATCCAAATAATATTTTTCCTGTGATATTAGCATTCCATAAAAGTGATAATAACACATTTTAGAACAAATTTCGGGCCCGTGCAGTGCACGGGCATCAACATCTAGTATATATTACTACTATACATAAAGGAAAGCGAAGCACCTCTCGATCGTCGTGTCCGCTTATGAAGAGGGCAATTCGTTCATTTCAATTAAATTATGTGTATTATTTGCTTGTTTTGTGTGCTTTAGTACTTTATTGTGGACCACAAATGACTAAAAGCCAAGTGCCACATGGAGATATCTATGCCCCTAATGATGTATCTTATTGCTTTAAATTCATTGGTATAGTTGAAATTTAGTGAACTTTTCAGGCTTTTTAACCTTTCACTTCTGTACAAAATTGTGGGCCCATGACACTTTTCCTTTCTAGTTTTAATGTGTGAATACTTGTATTTCTCTCTCTGCATTAGCTTTTGTTCACCTTTTCTGTATTTCTATATTTCTCTCTACATCTACACATCTTATGTCCATCTTTGCAATATTCTTTTGTACTTTGTAGTAGTATGGAGTTCTCCTTTTAAAAAGTTTTTCTGATTTGCTATGCTATTTTTATCTTTAGGATAATCTCTGCTTGATTCATGGTTTTAATGGCTTTTATATTTAACTGTTGGCACTTGATATCCGCAGACATGGCTACATATTATCTTTAATTCTTCACAGGAAGGAAATTAATTGAAAATATTTATATAAATAACTTTCCGCCAATTTCTAAAGTTGAAATCTCAAAATCAATTCCAAGTCAAAGTGATTTTGGCGGCAAGGAAATTTCTCTACTATACAAATAAGAATTAATTAGTTTTATAAATTTTGGAAAAAATTGAGGTACAGTTAATTACTATTTAGTTTACAATAATATCGTTTTACTCTCTAACCCATATTTACGACATATAATGAGACAAAGAAATTATTAATAAGGATATTTTTTTTAATTGGTTCCTCGGTTTGAGAAATTTTATTACCATACTTTAATTTTTTTTAAATTAAATTACTTTTAAAAATTNTCTAGGGAGTATCTCTTTTAGAAGTATGCAATTGATTTCTTTGAGATTAGTTTTTACTAATGTATTAAAGTACTTTTTGGGATCGATGTGTTATGAGCATTTAAGCATTTACATTTAGGTACTCTTGACACCTGTTTAATCTACTAGAATTTGCTTTGTGTATAATTTGACTAATGGTAATGCACTTTTTGTTTGCTTGTTTACCGGATGTAACCATGGTTGAAAAAGATGACTACTATTTTGTGGAGTTGCATTTTATCTACTACAGACATTGCTATGCATCCATACGAGGGATAGCTTTGACAAATGCAGAGACATTCGTCTTCCTAATGGTTAACGGCTTAATGGATAGCTTTAATAAATGCACAAAAATTTGTCTTCCTAACGGTTAATGGCTTGATGAGTAGCTTTGACAAATGCAGAGACATTTGTCTTCCTAATGGTTAAGTGTTTGTGAGGTAGGAAAGCTTTTTGAGTTTTTTTTCTTTTGATACAAATATCTCAACAATTGTCGATATGATGGAAGAATAATCAATTTTGATATATGTCAATCTTTATTTGATTCCTTATTGGTAAATGGCGTACATCCAAATAATATTTTTCCTGCGATATTAGCATTCCATAAAAGTGATAATAACACATTTTAGAACAAATTTCGGGCCCGTGCAGTGCACGGGCATCAACATCTAGTATATATTACTACTATACATAAAGGAAAGTGAAGCACCTCTCGGTCGTCATGTCCGCTTATGAAGGGGGCAATTCGTTCATTTCAATTAAATTATGTGTATTATTTGCTTGTTTTGTGTGCTTTAGTACTTTATTGTGGACCATAAATGACTAAAAGCCAAGTGCCATATGGAGATATCTATGCCCCTAATGATGTATCTTATTACTTTAAATTCCATTGGTATAGTTGAAATTTAGTGAACTTTTCAGGCTTTTTAACCTTTCACTTCTGTATAAAATTGTGGGCCCATGACACTTTTCCTTTCAAGTTTTAATGTGTGAATACTTGTATTTCTCTCTCTGCATTAGCTTTTGTTCACCTTTTCTGTATTTCTATATTTCTCTCTACATCCACACATCTTATGTCCATCTTTTCAATATTCTTCTATACTTTGTAGTAGTATGGAGTTCTCCTTTTAAAAAAAATTTCTGATTTGCGATGCTATTTTTATCTTTAGGATAATCTCTACTTGATTCATGATTTTAATGGCTTTTATATTTAACTGTTGGCACTTGATATCCGCAGACATGGCTACATATTATCTTTTAATTCTTCACAGGAAGGAAATTAATTGAAAATATTTATATAAATAACTTTCCGCCAATTTCTAAAGTTGAAATCTCAAAATCAATTCCAAGTCAAAGTGATTTTGGCGGCAAGGAAATTTCTCTACTATACAAATAAGAATTAATTAGTTTTATAAATTTTGGAAAAAATTGAGGTACAGTTAATTACTATTTAGTTTACAATAATATCGTTTTACTCTCTAACCCATATTTACGACATATAATGAGACAAAGAAATTATTAATAAGGATATTTTTTTTAATTGGTTCCTCGGTTTGAGAAATTTTATTACCATACTTTAATTTTTTTTAAATTAAATTACTTTTAAAAATTTATAATACATAAAAAATGAAGTTCGATACATCAGAAATTGAGACATATGTAATTCTATTTTTCACGCAGATACTTTTTCTAGACCAATAAGATATGATAATTAGTGTTTTGGGAATTTTCAATAACATATTGTTTAATATTATACTTAAAGTCAGATTACCATAACTAAAATACAAAAAATAAGAACTCGGGTAACGTAGAGGGTAAAATTTCATGTTGCACCCAATTTTGCCCCGCCTATTGAATATGCATTCACTTTTTGAATTATTTTTAACTGATACCCAATTTTTGGATAACTTTAATACATATAAACTTTTCTCTTCTTCTTTAATGTTGTTTTCTTCTTCTTTGTGCCTAGAGTTTCTTCTTCTTCTTCTTCTTCTTCTTCTTCTTCTTCTTAGTAGTTGCAAAGTGAGTTTGTTAAATTTATTGTCGTTGTTGACATTTTGATGATTAGGATTTGTTCTTTATGATATTTGAAAGCGATTTTAAATTTAAGCTCATTTGGAGTAGATTTTGCCATTGAATCGTATACTGGATTATTGAAAATCGAAGAACAAATTTATGTTTCAGAACTTAAAATTCGATATCAGAATTTGCATTCAATAGATTGAACTACTTAAGATTCAAGTTACTGGAATTGCATTTGAAAGATAGAAGTACTTCATATTTGATTTATGAAGTTGCATTGAAGAGATTGAAGCTCTTAAGATTCGAATTTCTGAAGTTGCATCCGAAAAATAGAAGAACTTCATATTTGATTTCTGAAGTTGCATTGAAGAGATTGAACTACTTCGGATCTGAGCGGGTATACTCTGAAAGTTTTTGTGCAATGTAGGTATAACTTCAACGATGAACCCAAAAGTGGGTATATATGAAAATGCCCCGCGTAGGGGATCCTGGGAGGATTGCTCATACAGTCAAATCCCTCTATAACAGTCTCATTTGTTTCGATATTTTTGTTATAGAGTACATATATTATGACATAACATCGATTATAACATGAAAATCGATTCGGCAAAAATTTAGCTTTTATATTGAATGATTGTTAAATAAGGATACTGTTATAGAGATGTGTGACTGTATATAAATAATCATTGGGCCCGGCATAACATCACTAGTATATATATAAAGGAAAGCAAAGCACCTCATGGTCGTAATGTGTGCCTCCTTGAATTAACATCTATTCCAAGGGTATTTTTGGAATTTTGAGTTCTTTTTGGTGAGTTGTATTGCATTGTGTGGTCTAAATAATTGAGCTAGCGTTTGGCCATAGATTCTCAACTTTGTTTTGTAAAGTCTGATTTCGGTGAAGTTTGGTTTGAAGATGAAAATGTGTTTGTACATACGTTTTCAAAACATATTTCACTTCTTTTTTTTGAAAAAATATATAATATGATTTATACCCACAAGTTCTAAAAACTATCACAAATACCCAACAGTACCTTCATCAATAACATTCATTATCATTATCACAAACCATAGTACAACAACTACCCAGTATAGTCCCACAAGGTGGGGTCTGGGGAGGGTAATACGTATGCAGGCCTTACCCCTACCCGAAAGGGCAGAGAGGCTGTTTCCAATCGACCCCCGGCTCATAAAAAGGAAAAGGAAAACAAAAACCAAAAACAAAAAGCAAAAGAGCATTAGTGACTCCAGCAGAAATCACATAAATAATTATCTATATCACAAACCATAGTCCTGAACATAAATAAATTTAGTACAAAATTATCATTTTTATAATGAACTACATAATACACTGTCGGATGACCGGAAAGACGAAACAACATTGTTACAAAATAACAAATAGTTGGCTCTTTTATAAAGTACAAAAAAAAAGTTTGGAGCAATTTTTAAAAATTTTAAAAAATATAATACGTAGTAAAATTTTGGGCAAAAGAGCTGGTTTTGATATTTCGGTTTTGGGATTTGGTAATTTGTGAAAATATGGATAAAATTTATGAACAAACATGTATTTGCCAAAAATAATTTGAGAAAATTTTGTCAAAATCTATGGCCAAAAATATTCTCCAACTTAAGTTATCTCATACTATTAGGTGAATATAGCCAACTTTGAGGTCTTTTAAAATATCTATAAAAAAAAATCTAAATGGTACCACTATGGCGTTACCATTAACAATTGACAGAAAAAAATTAAATTAGGATATATATATTTAGACATAAATTGTTCACATAGCCATTGGGCCTGAGCATAGCTCTGGCAACATCACCAGTATATATATAATAAAGAAAAGAGAAGATAAGCAGCTCTTTCCACTTAAATGAAGAAGTCAGATACTTTGGTTTTTACTACTACTTTTACATGTCCAACAAAAAAAAAGTACAAAGAGAACTTAAATAGCATAAATTCATAGAGCTAGTAACCATGTTCAATGAGCCTCACTAAATGTTAACACAAAGCCCAAAGCTTAGTACCAAAAGGATGTTCGATCAGATCACTGCATATCCGAATCTTTCTTTGGCTGCATATCCGAATCTTTCTTTGGCTGCATATATTATTTGCATAAGAGAGAATTAGTAGCCAGAAATGCTAAAATTGACAATTCCAACAGCACAACGGGAGATGGTATTTCTTCTAAGGGCACAACACGCATCATATCCAAGAGTAAATTAATGAGGTTTTCTAAGACATTTTCCATGTTCATCTCTGCATCATCCTTGTCTGTGGAAGATGTTTCAATAAGGAAAAATAATTATAACTATAATTAATGAGATAGTAGGGTAGTGCTGATCTGATTAATTTTCCCCCATTCCATGTATTTGCAGCTTTCCACAAACAAAACAAAAAAAGTCATGAGCCAATTATAGACCAGCATGCAATAACATAATCATGACAAAGCAACATGGAGCATTCATCCTGTGAAAGGTGTACAAATCACACTTTAAAAGGTGCGAGCTACGGCATAAGGTGTACAAATCATACTTTAAAAGGTGTGAGCTACGGCATTTGGGGTGCCAAAATGCTGAAAGCCGATGTTGATCACGGTTTCTGCCCATTAAACTTGGTTTACGCTACTGAATCAGAGGCTTATATGATTCTCCAATATTTAGTATATATTGATGGGTAGTTAACAAGTCTGTAAAATAGAATATCAAATTACTCATTGTTTTCAAATTCGTTCTCATAATCTTTATCAAGGTATCAAATTAGAAAATACAAATCAGAGGCCAAATTGACATGTAGTAATATAATACAAACTCAAGGCAATTGAAGGATATAACCTAACCAAATATCAGGGAACAATTATGCATATAAATGAAATTCATCAGCACAACTTCAGATCAAGGAATAATTATGCTTACAAATGAATTTAATCACCAAAAATTCAGATCACATAGATTTTGAAAATCGTCTAGTAGAGAGATAACTCTCAATTTGGTTATCACACAATATATGCCTAACTGTGATTCAGACAATTCCAAGAACTTTCAGTCTATACTCATTTCCTCTAAGCTTCTCTTCATTGAGCCCAACCCCATGTGCCCGACTATAAATAACAGACTTGATCATGAAATTTCGAAGATCAGGACATCTAATCTTTTGGAAGTGGAAAGAGAAAAGGACTCAGTGACAGCCTGCTGTGTCAAGTTAAAGAGCACAGAAGAAAAGCAAATATCTCCAGAAGGAGGAGGAGATAGAAAAGAGTCAAAGTCCAGCCAAGGGAGATGGTATAGACTAAACTTACAAGTATAAATAAGGAATGATAATGTGATAACAGAGACAAGGGAATTCAGATTGATAGTAGCGGAACCGGGCGGACTGGGGGGGGGGGGGTAATTCAAATTTCTCATTCTTGTTTTCTATCGGTACAACGGACTTACTTCTAGCCCAAAAAAAAAAATTTTTCCCCATCCTTCACTTCCAAAAGTTTTAAGTTTAATTCAATCGTCTTTAAAGTAGACATATGCTAAGGTAAAATTATCAGATGACCAATGCAATTCTCACAAAAATGGTTATTTTCGGAGCATGAAAGAAATATGGGAACTGATGAATGGAAAGTCACGATTAAGGGAATGTTTCTCTTTCTAAATTCTCCCTAAAAGAGGAAGTAGCAACTATATCACATCAATTGTCACAAGTTGGTTCCTAAAGGATGTTAATTGGTTCGCACTTGGTCTATGTTGCACCTTCATTACTTGGCACTCATGGTGAATCTTTGTTCATATTTGTAGGTAAAGACTTGGAGATTCAAGAATAAACACGTTAAAACATTAGAAAGATTTATCAACATGTTTAAAACATCAGAGGAAACATAAGAAGAGTGTAACAGTTCTCATAACAACCTATACCTGGGGCCTGACGATGGGAAAGTCCAAATGACCATCTAAATCTCTCACCACCTTAACTTGAAAATAATCCTTTTCCCCTTTATGTGTCTTAACCGAAAGGGTAATATAGAAAATGAAGCTACAAGAGCCACCTCCATTCACCTTCAAAATATCATCAACCTCCCAACAGGTGCTCTAAAACCAGTACAAAGGTAAATTTCTTAGTTACCAAGAAGAAAACAAAGGAAAAAAGAGCTGACAAGACAGATGAAAGTGTGGCTCGAGCATACATAATCATCATTGTATTTCTTAAGTGCCTTTTCTGCATAACCCTTCAACATGACGACATTCTCAGGATGTTTCGAGAAGCCCGTCAATGGGAAAACTGTAGTCATCAAGCTAGGTCTTGGAATGTCTTTAACGTCAAATCCCTAACGAAGTACAAGCAACAAATGAGACATAAAAATCAACTTTATTTCCAGATAAGAAGAGACAAAATCACCTATTGCAACCACTTTGTTCTTGCAACAAGTTAACCTCCAAATAAATGATCCATATAATTGCAAAAGTTTTTCCATGCATGTTTTTCAAGAATATATTAGCTTGTGGTTACCACAATTAATAATAATTTGTTGTGATAACTGATGCCATTTAGTTTTATTTAAGCACCAACTTTAAACCGAGCAAGGGTAACACTTGTTCTTCTCTTTTTCTATACTTTATTTGGCAACTGAGTGTCATGAATCTTCAAAATACCACAGTAATAGACAAAGAACTAGGAAGATAGTGAAACAGCATGCACAAATTCCATTCTACCCCATGATGCTAGCATTGGTTTAAACATTGTAGTGATCATGTGCATCATTCATAGTACGCACAGGAAGTAAATGTCAAAAGACTTTCTGATAAACTAACTAGCATGCACCACAAACCCATGGTTAACTTAAAAAGGTTAGACATGCATACATAGACCAAAAGTAGCTAAAGCAACAAGATATCATAGTCATACGACAAAAGGTAATTAGAATATGTGAATACAGATTATTGTACATATCATCCAGCATGCACCAATTAAGACACAGTTAACTAATGTAAAGTTAGAGCGGGATAAACCGACTAAAAGTAGCTAATAGACAACAGAATCATACCAAAAAACAAAATTATATACGCATTGATGTACATATTGTACGAGGTAGATGTGTAGAGAGGGTATGTGTGTCAATATGAATTAGATAAAAGTTGGCAAATTAAGGGGCATTTTCTGCATATTGCATAAAAAATAGGAGTAAAACCTGTTGAGCAGTTGTTATTAGCCTCGATTAACTAGGCCATTATGTGTTTTGTTTTTTGTTTTCCTTTTCCTTTTCCTTTTCCTGAGCCGAGGGTCGATTGGAAACAGCCTCTCTGCCCTTTCGGGTAGGGGTAAGGCCTGTGTACCTATTACCCTCCCCAGACCCCACCTTGTGGGACTATACTGGGTAGTAGTAGTTGTTGTTGTTGTTGTTTAACTAGGCCATTATGCAATTGTTAATAATATTGATGACTTATATTTTCCTGATTCATGAAGGATGCTTATATAATTGGGGGGGGGGGGGGGGGACTGAATCACAATTTCAAACAAGGGATAAATTAGGCACCTCGCTCTCCTCGATCTGTTGGAGGTACTTGTCCCAAACAGCTTCATCAATCTCCTCTTCTGAATCATACCCATCAATATACTGAGCTTTTACGGAACTGGACATACCATCCTCATCACCGGCGGAAGTCGAAGTCTTGCAATCGACCTCTTCACCAAGTTTCTGTTTCTTCTCCGGCGGGGTCTCCGTAGCGTCAGAGAAATCTCCGCCACGAACCCCTGCTACTGACGAGGAAGCCACGTTCTGAGGTATTGTCGGTGGCGGCGGTTCACGAATCATGTCACTTCTTTTGACAAACCCTACAATCACCCAATTCGGATCACAAAGAGGAGAACAAAGAGCTACAACCTACCCGGAATTTATGAGAAGTCCTTTAGTTTGGAGGGATTAGGTTTTTGTTGGAGGCCCGCATTAAAGGTCTCAAATGAGCCGACACGTTTCACTTTTTTTTTTTTTTTTGAAGTTTTTTCGGCCTCGTTAAAATTAAAATTATATTTTAACAACTCAAATATAATGGTAGTAATTCATCAAAAAAAAAAAAAAAAACTCAAGATATGAAAAATAAAAGAGGAATTTATGGAGTCTACCTATTAAACTAAAACTAATTACCCGGTTATATCCACTTGGATAATAATTACTATACATACCTACTCCATATAAAATTATTACCCGTCCTCCATCCATTAAGAAAGTCTTTAAAGGCTTCAGGGGCAACAAATCTATACCTAACCTATACGGGACCTTTCTTCCTTCAATTCAAAGTAAGAAATATTTTATTTCTATCTTCATCGATTTCCTCTCTTTGTTCTTGCTTCTATTTTCATAAGTAAAATTGTTTATCTGATAGGCTATATTTTTATAATATTCACAAAGTAAAATATTGATAATTAATGGGAGCAAGGAGTAGCTGTTTTTTTTAGTTATGTGATGATTTTGTGTATACAAAAAAATATATTTGTTCAATATCTATAAATTATGATTCAATTAACTCACTACATGCATGTAGTATAGTTTTCTCTTGCTGAATGAAATCATCACCTATTGAATACCATTCATCGCCACAAAATGCTCTCTCCCTCCCTACAAATTTTTATATTTTTCTCGTCGATAATTATTCTAGTTCGAGTCATTTCCTGTAAAAAAATTTAATTATGATTCTGTTGCTATTAAATATTGCTTATAGTACCTTTTGGAAATTCATACTGAAATTTGATCACAATTGGAGCGATTTGAAGTGATCGAGATAGAAATTTTAGCTGAAAATCAAAAAAGAACACAGTTATCCAATAGTATACTACTATGGTATACAATATGTTGTAGAAGTATATAGCTATACTACAATAGTATACTGTTATAGCATATAATATACTACAACAGTATATTGTAATAATCAAAGAAGAACACAGTTACCTAACAGTATACTGCTACAGTATACAATATACTATAGGAATATATAGTTATACTGCAACAGTATACTATTATAGTATACAATATATTGTTGTAGTATACAGTAATAATATGCAATATACTGTAATAATATACAATATACTATAATAGTATACTTATTACCCGTAAATTCACTTGCCTTTTCCCTTTTAATTTTCTTTAAGCTTTTACTCTACGCGAGGGGCAAATTTAAAATGCAAAAAAATATATTATAGTATGCTATATAATGTAGCGGTATACTCTTACAATTAGATCCTTTTAGAATTTTTTGAATTTTTATTGACAGCTGATATTATTTCAGTTTAATAATTGAATTAATTTTTTTTAACTCTTTGCGTACAATTGTATACCCTGTTGGTATATCTATATACTATACTGGTATCATATGTTAGTTAATATTTTTTGGTTGTATTAGCTACATTTAATTGGCACACATTTGATTTTTCTTTAGTAATAGTATAAAAAAAAGGAATAATAAAAAATAGTAAAAACGGTAAATAAATTAGATTATGAAGAGAAAAAGAATATTAAAAAAGAAGAAGTTAAATGAAATTGTATACCCTGTTGGTATATCTATATACTATACTGGTATCATATGTTAGTTAATATTTTTTGGTTGTATTAGCTACATTTAATTGGCACACATTTGATTTTTCTTTAGTAATAGTATAAAAAAAGAATAATAAAAAATAGTAAAAACGATAAATGAATTAGATTATGAAGAGAAAAAGAATATTAAAAAAGAAGAAGTTAAATGAAATTGAAAAAGGAAAAAAGAAAAAATTAAGAAGAAAACGAGAAAAAAGGAAAGGAGAAAAGAAAAAAAAAGGAAAAAAAGAAGCATAGAAATTAAAAAGAAATGGAGAATAAAGAAAAAATTCCCCGTAAAAACTACTATGGGTAGGAAATGTAATTAGTTTATGGGTAGAAAAACAAATGGATAGACAAGGGTAAATAGTTTTGTTTTTGTGGGTAACTGTGTCAAACCCCCAAAATAAAAGACTCCTTGTGACCGAGCTCATTAACATGGGCTTATAACTCAAGTGGGGCATTAATGTGGTGGAATGTTGGGCTGTTCCAGAAGGTTGGATTTGGTGAGCTCAAATCTGGCCTGCCCTGTCCAAGCGCAGAGCTGGGTCACGTGGCCCAAGCAAAGGCATGGGCTGATTGACTCCTAAAGTAGGGTGGACCGCGTGAGGCTGGTTTCACAAAGCAACGAACAGCTCCCGCTCTGTGCAGTGGAAGGATAACGGGCCGATGCTTTCCAAGTCCAGCAACGCCTGATGGGCTGCTCCAATTAGACCACTATTTTAAAAAGATGAAAAAAAAGGACTCCTTGTGAGATGGTGTTATGAATTTTAGGTTTTAATATATTTTTCTATCGATTGAATTTATTAGACTAGATGCTTAAATCTCTTCCTAATGCCTTTAGGTGCTGTGGAGAGAGTAGCTCTGGGCATTCTTTTAGAAAGAAAAAATAAATACAAAAAGAGAGATAGGGTATATATATACTATACAAATTGATGATGGTTTATCATCATCAGAACAAAGATCAATCTTGATCGAGATGAATGCTACACGAAGGTAATATGTTAGCATTTTATCAATTTTCTAGGTCTTTAAAATACGCTTAATTTTTCCTACCAGATCATTAAAATTATTGACCGTTTTGTCATTTCATAAAAAAAAAAAATCAAATTCAATCCCCTTCCTTGTATCTACGTAGGCGTTTGGACATAAAAATTGGGATTTTTGAAAGTAGTATCTAAAGTTAAGTTGAAAAATGGTATTTAGAATTTGAAATTATATTTTGACATGCATTTTACTTAAAAAAATATTGTAATTTTGTGAGTGGGAAAAGAAAATTTCCTAAAAACTTGAAAAGGACCACTTTTTGGTTTTTGAAAATAAATTATTTTCGAAAAATCTCCAAAAACTTACAAATTTGTGACTTCATTGTTAAAAAAAATAGTTGACCACAATGCGATTTCATTGTCTTAAAGAACATAATTTGTATTTTCGAATATTCAAGTTGATTTTACATATGATTACGGAAGAATTTAAATCTTAACTTTTTCTAGCTTAGGATTTCAAGAATTAGTGTCAATCATTTAAATTGGTAGTTTGAATATATATGGGCTTATATACTAACATCATAAAGTACAAAATTATTGTATAATCTAAAATTATATTATTCCTAATACGTGAATTGGAACATGAATAAAAGAGGACAAGAGAGAGGGGAGATGCAGTTTCACTTCAATTTAAAAGCTTCCCAGATGTATTAAATTTTGAAAGTTAAAAAGACGAAATAGCTTACCTTGAATACTTTCTTTTATTTATATGTTTATTAGTTTGAATGTATAAGAAGATTATTAACCGCTAGAAATTCATTATGTATCGATGCCCACATATATATAGAGAAAGAAAGAGGAGAGAAGAAAATCGAGAATAACATCTCAAGTTTGTTCGGCCAAATTTTACTATAGCATTAATTTCTTTTCTCTTTTCCTCGACAATTTTTTTTCTTCTTCTTGAAGAAAATCTTCTAATGAAAAATGCGGTTCATGAAAGTTCTAATTATAACAATGTATACGGTCAGAACGGGCTTGCCATTTGTATGACTAATCGAGGTTGGAACATGACAGGTCAAGGTTCGGCATCGTGTTATATCGAGCCTGTCACGACCCAAAACCCCGCTCCGGTAGTGATGGCGCCTCTCGTGAAAACAAGGCCAGCCAACCAACCCATATCGCCTTTTCAAAAAAATAATTACACATTGATAAACCGTTAAAAGTATGATTTAATGATACAATTAGCGGAAGTACAACACGATACGGCCCAAACCGGGGTGTCCCAAGTCACGAGCATCTACTAGAATATAAACACTACTACAAGGCCTAAAATATACAGAATAGGTCTGATAAACAAAAGGAAGAAAAAAATGCGGTGCTGCGAACGCTAGCAGGCACCTCGCTAAACTCCGATAAGTTAGCCTCCAATCAGCTCAAAACCCGCTACTGGGTGAACAAATACCTGCATCTGCACACGAGGTGCAGGGAGTAAAGTGAATACTCCAACTCAGTGAGTAATAAAGGTAAATAATAACTGAGCAATAAGAAATCACGTAAAACAAACCATTATGCTGTATAGAGCAGTGTAATACCCTTTAAGAAAAACATTGAAGCTGTGAAATCTTTAGAAAAACATCTTAGCTCAGTTTAAACCTCTTTTGAAAATGACTTTTTCAGCGGTTATGCAACTGAATGCAAAACAAGTAGTTCAGATAAGCACAGAAATCCGCCCCTCGGGCACAACACTCAGTTATCAAATAATGCCAAGCAATCAGGTAGATATTGCATGAAGTAGCACAAACAACAGATAATGGCAGACAAATGAAATAAGGTAAACACATAGAACAGTACCGGTACCGTTGCGGCATGCAACCCGATCCACATATCGCTGCGGCGTGTAGCCCGATCCATTTATCATCGACGGCGCTCACTAGGGGTGTGCAGACTCCGGGAGGGGCCCCTTACGGCCCAAGCGCAATATCAAGCCATCTCGTGGCATCAAGTCTAGGCCCCCGACCTCATATCAGTATCAGTATAACACTGCTGCGGCATGCAGCCCGATCCAAAAGTATCCTCACTCACAGGCCCTCGGCCTTACTCAGTCAAATATCACATAAGCCCCTCGGGCAACAGTAAAACATGCTGCTCAGCCCAAAATAGTATAGGAAATATCATTTCAAGTGTTAAAGCAAAATAATCTTGGTTGAGTTTTGAAAACAGTATAAAATACATGACTGAGTTCAAGTATAAAATCAAACAGTGAGAAAACATCAACAACTATCCCCGAAGGGTTCAAATAGCTGGCACGAAGCCCAAATATGGCAATCAGCCCAAATCATGATGAATAACAAATGAGTT